TATATAAATTACCTCACTCTAGATGGCGTACTCCACTGGCACGCTAGCGCAGGGCTGTTTTGGGAAGGTGTACAAAGAGAAGTACAACGACACCTGGGCTGCGATAAAGAAGGTCCCCCAAAATCTCATCAACAGGAAGGACCTGGAGAGAGAGTGTGAAGTGTACAAGTACGTAGTAGAAGTACAAGATTCTCACGCACTTTAGCTTTTTCAGAATGCTGCAAGGTCAAATTTGTCCATTTCTTTTTGACATGTTGTGTTATCGCTGATCTGCAGCAAGGTGAGTCATCCCAACATAGTGAAGCTTCTGGGCAACATAAATCTGAAAGATGGGAAATGGGTCATTCCTCTGGAGTTCATCTTCGGTGAAGACCTGGAGACGACCATCTTTAAAACTTCCAAGTCTAAAATACAGGTATGACAAGATATGATGTGACGGCAGACACACGGCACTTGGTGCAACCTGAAATTAAGAGCTGGAATTAAAGATAGTAATGATAATAAAAGTTTGAATATTCTGCTAATCCAGCTAAACTTGATCTCAAATTCTCATCTCCACAGTTGACTCCATCTAATCGAGGAACAATCATTATTGGCATGTGTGAAGGGCTGCTGCACCTCCACTCCAAAGATGTTGTCCATCAAGACCTCAAGCCTGAAAACATAATGGTGAGTGGAGAGGGCACCGCACTGTGCTGTCAGTGTGTTAGTGGAGAACAACTGCTCTGGCTTAAGAAATCAAGCCAAAATATCCCTGATACGAACGTCCCCATCTTGCACATTTGGATTTTGTGTCTAAATTCAGCCTCACATCGCTGTAGATTCAACCTCTAATCCCTGAGCAGAAGCTGAAGCTTAATGAACAGACAGTAAAGCTTATGAAATGTTTGTCCTCCAGGTGGAGCATGACACCAACAGAGCGGTGATCATTGACCTGGGACTCGCCAAGTTCTTCCGATGCGGCCTCAACTCTGCCATGGACATGGGCAACCCGGCCTACTCGGCCCCCGAAGTGCTGCAGAGGGGCAGCCAGCGGGACCAGCGCTCAGACGTGTGGGCCATGGGTAAGATCATCGCCGAGCTCTGCGCCCGGATCCGGCTGTACACACCAACCGTCTGCCCCGCCAAGATCAAGGAGACCCTGCACGATCAGCCATACTGCCACGCTGTGTGCAGGATGGTGGAGCCTGACCCTTCTCTGAGGGCCTCCATGGGGGGGGTCATCAGTGGAATACGAATGGCCGGAAGTGCAGGCATCGTCACCAAGCCACCTCCACAAAGAGACCACCTCAAGCTACCTTCACCCAATGTGAATGCCAGAAACAGGTCTCCTTCACCCAGGGACAGAGATCCATCTCCCCTGAAAAGAGATCCTTCGCCATTTAAAAGAGCCCCATCGCCGTTCAACAGGGATCCTTCACCATTGAACAGAGCCCCATCGCCGTTCAACAGGGATCCTTCACCATTGAACAGAGCCCCA